CCACTTATTTGTCTTTCACACAGAGGCTTCATACACAGTCACACAAGCTTTCCGGTGTGCTAGAATACATCCTAAGGGGCTTTTCTTTAAAATACCACTGCTTTGCTGTCCCCCATTTTACTTTGTTGATTCTGTACTTCTGTTAGTCTTTATCTCAACAATTTTAATCTGTCGTCCCCTTCTGTCCCGCTCTGACCACGTTCCAAAAATGTCACAATTAATATTCTGGTCATGAGAAAAGAGGTTCACCGTGCAAGGGTTTTTTTGGGTGTTTTTTTTTTTTTTTGGTTTTACGATGCCTGATGGGTATGTTAACAAGCCAGTATCCGAGATATCCGATATCCGAGTTCAATACTGATGTGGGGAACTGAAAATGAGTTCGATTTTGCTATAGCTTTAGTTTAATTTTGTTATATAATTTTGCATCTATGTTAAAGTAAGAGTTAAACACTGTTACTCAGTTTAGTTCTGTTCTTTGTAATCTTGCTGACAAGGACTGTTGTGGCTCAAATGTAGCTCACAAGGACTGCTTGTGAGACAGATGAAGAGAAACAAGGACTGATAACCAGAACTTTGTTGTCTGTAAGAAGCAACTCTCTAGCTGAAACTGTTTCTATGGTTTGGGACTCAGCCAACACAGACAACTCAGGAATTTTTGAGCCAAAGGTGAAAGCATACAGCGAGGAAGACTACGAGCCTTCATCCAGAAGACCCCCACAGACGACCACCAGACGACACTGCGCAAGTGCTAAAGGGGGGTGGAGTATGAGAATGAATTCCTACAAATAATTACAATGGTCCAGCCTACTTAGATAAGCTTTGTAATAAATAGGTGCATGCTTCGTGACTCGGTGTGCAAGTTAGGAGGAGCGATCCCCCTTGCACCCGACGCCGCAAGAAACAGACCTGCTTGATAACTCTCGGAGTTGTGAAGTTTGATTCCGCACGTCAATACCAACAAATCCGTATCGCCAGAAGTACAACTTAAGCGGGTTTCCTAAGCGTACCAATACCGAATGTACATTATTACAGAAGTACAAAGTTTAACCCATGCTTGTACCAACGCACAACTCCCAAAAGCACGTTATTACAGAAATGCAAAGCACAACCCGTGCCTGCACCAACGTACAACTCCCAAAAGCACGATATTACAGAAGTGCAAAGCACAACCCGTGCCTGCACCAACGTACCAAGACGTACACCCTCAGGCACTAGTAGCCTGGTGTACAGCGCTCAGCGTAGGACGTCTCCTACGACTTACGAGAACTCTCCAAATGACCGGTCTCACATACCAAAACAGAGAAAGAAAGGAAAAAAAAGAATACCTTTCCTCGTTTAGATGGTCCTTGTCTGCTCCCGCAGTGATCCGAGTGAGGCGAGGAGTCCCTCCGGGAAATCCCGGGGGTACCCTAGGGAGTCCTGTTCTCAGCGGGTCCTGCAGCCGAGCAGAGCGGGTCCCATCTGGGGTGCCAGAAATGATGCCGTGGAAAGCCGGAATTGAAGACTCAATAGTCGGCAGATTATTAAGCAGGTATTCTTTATTGCGGCGCCGGGCACACGGGGGATCTCTCCTCCAAACGTGTGCACCGAAGAGACACAGTTACTAGGTATTTATGCTATGTTAACATACATATTCATTACATCTCCAAGAAATGTTTATCATAGTAATGGCTTTTCCGAGAATTCATTAATATACGGTAATGTCCATGGCACATGTTTGTTTGGCGTCTCTCGGCAGGGGGCTTCAGATTATCCTGCAGCCTCCTTATCTCTGTAGTTTGCATACCTGTTCTCCCAAGGCCCAGGCGCCTAAAGGGATTATTCAGGAGTCCCTTGTCTTGCAACCATCCCAATTATTCACAAAGTACCAAGACTTGTTTCTGACCACCTGAAGTGATAACATCCCCTACATGTTACATTTGTTACATTTACAGTTATCATTTGCCTCAGCACCTCCTGCAGTGCAGCTGCAACTCTCAGCATTCTCACAACCCAAGGACTACATTGCTGACAGCTCAGAAAGCATGAAGGCAAGTCATGGTGTGCACAATTACCACACTGCAGAGAACCTAATCAGTTTTAATTCAGTAAAAATGCCCATTCTTTCGCCCTGGAATGTGTAGCATCACGGGTACCACTCTTCACATCTAGCAAACAGAACCTTCTACTGACTAGGAGTGAAAACATTATCAATTTCAATAGGATTAAAAATTTAGTGTATCAAGATGTGCTGCAAAATAACCCCTTCGGGAACTGCATAGTTCTGTACTTAATAGTCTCAACTCTTGTCCTCCCCTATAAAAAGCAAAACCAGGCTTTGGTCAAGATTGAGCGTCCCACAGACTCTGGCTTACACAAAAGCTGTTAGCAGCAAATTACCTCGGTCCACAGCTATCAGCTCGGGCCGTTTCTCCCCTTGATATGCTTGCAGGGAAGAACAACTAGCACATTTAGGTAACGTGAGTAGCCTTTACTACATGCCACTGGGTGAACAAGAGGGAACATGCATATGATGAGTAAGTAACAATTCAGACCTGTTAAAGAAGGAATTGAATTTCTATTTGAGAAGCCTTCAACAAAGTGTTATACAAAAACTCCTCCAATAACCACGGCTGTGTTCTACACAATTCTGTTGGGAAGGAAAACATATTTCCCTGAATAAAAAATCTTCATGTTTAAAGAGGCTAAGTATTATAAGGCCAGAGATTGCCTGCTTTGTGCTTACTATTCTACTCCTATGGCTTTTCTGAATTCAGAATTTTGTGGCTCTAAGATGTCATAATAAACTCTACTTTTATCAAAGTTTTCTCGGATATAAAGCAAATCTTCTACAGAATACACATCTTCCTTTCCTGTCCAGACAGTGAGGCTGTATCTATATCAAAAAAGGGGGAAAAAAAAAAGAGAAAGTAAGAAAAGAGAAAAAAGAATATGTTACTATCTTAAGATAAAGCATGTAAGACAAAAAGACACTGTGCTAATAGGCTCCTAAAAATGCTTAGCACTATGGGATCTTCTATTTAGGAATGTAATTAAATGCCAAAAACTTAATCCCCTTTACATTTCAAAGACAAGCAACCACAATTTATGAACTACCAGTTTTATATGTCCCTGCCCTGCTCACCCCCCTATGAGCAGGTAAGTCACCACCCTCTACCCTGTATTTGTACGACAACCAACCCCATCTTCTTGTTACCACAGCGACTTCAGGTTACTGGGAAAAGCAATTGCTGGATCAAAACTACCCCCAGAAACAGGCATGATCAAACACATCCTAGCTTGTGCACCAGGCACACAGAATGCTTCGTACAGACAGACTAGCTAAAGAATACAACCCATAGTCTTTAAGTAAACCTCTTTGACACATGCAACCTGAAATTTGCAGACATCTATTCCTTTGACACAGTTTTTTTTTCCCTCTTTACGGACCTAAGTCACACCATCTGGCTCCAGTCAAACTTCAAGTTCTGGCTCCTAAAGCTAAACTTCCCAAGGAGGACTACAAAATTTGTAAGATGGACAATCCTACACCATCCAGACCAATTTATCTGTAGCCTGGTCTTGTGTGAACTGTACTGCCAAACCTAGCAAGGACTAAAATAAAAAATACGAGGCAGATAACTAGCAAAGAAATTTACCAGGCTGAGCATTTAAAGTTTGACAAAGTAATAAACAGTTACAAGCAGAGCGTTATAACAGAAAATATGAGGCAATCTCAGTTATAGGTGATTTTCATATACTATGTTTCGTCACCTACATGATGTGTCGTGATGCCATCTACTAAGTGAATGTATCTTCTGTACTTTATCACATACACTTTTATCATTAATTGAACACTTTATTATTATAACTCTTAAAAAAAAATTAAGAACTTTGAAGTACCATTTACAGTTCAAAGGATTACCCTCCACAATCTCCACATGAGAAATACTTCATTTTTCCCCTTTGTTTTTGAAGACTGTATTCATCTAAAATACAGGTTAAATCGGAATTTAGTTGTGTGTCAGCAAAACTGACTCAGGAATTTCTGCCTTCTAATGATGCCACGCAGGAATAATGCTTGTATCCAATGAGGACATATTTGAGAATGGCACAGTCCACAAGACATGCTCTGAACATAACAATATTTTGAAATTAATTTCCCAGTTTCAAATGTTTCTCATTTCTCTGTTGATTCACCAATATAAATGAGAAAAAAAGCACTTTATTTTTAACACCCCACTGTATCTACCTACTTAGAAATTTTCCATACAAGTCACTGTCTTAGTCTTTCTGTCTTGGGCTTTGACCTTGGTTGGTGCTTAAGGAAGAACTTCATTAAAGTGTAGGTAGGCTGACTAGGTGGAAAACGTGAGTAAAACAAAATATGTACAAAGCAGGTTTTATTCTCATTCTAGTACATGTAAAGAAATTTTTTCTATGAAATTGTTATGGGTTTGTAAGAACTATTTTTAGAAGGAAATATTAAGTCAGTGTTTGGAAATCACTCAATGTATTTCAAGTACCTAAGCAAAATCAGCTTCGTAGCACACTCATTAACTTCCAACCTAAGAATCATCTTTAATGTTTTACATCACATTATTACAGAAAATGTAAATACTGAATCCAATAAAGAGTATCTATAAAATGTAAGTATTTAATTAATTCCAAATTGCAACGTCCAACTACTTGGTCTATTTAACTATATTAGTCTTACGGATGTTGACAGTACAACTGGATTACAAACCTACACAAGATTCACAATCTATAATAACTAATTTTAAGAGAGGCTTTTGGAACTTTGTTATTTTTAAGAAATCAATAGTGACCACTTCTGTATGACAACACAATGTAAGAACTGGAGGAATTAAGGAACTGAAGGGATAATCAAGAAGAAAAAATATTTTCAATGTAATTGAGGTAAGTATGTACACATAGCTGTGCTATACTTCATATAAGCAATTATGTACCCTTGTAATAAAGACAGCTAATAATAAAGGCCCTGAAACTTACCTGTCTGACTGTTGCATCAACCAACACAGCTCAGATATTGACTGTCGTACTAACGCTGCTCTTATGGGGAAAGTTACAGGCTGGGAAAGAGGATTGCATATCTCGGCCATTTCTTTCACCATCATCCAATCGTAGCCTAAAATAAAGACCATTTGATTAAAAAGAATTCTTCACAAATACAATCTTTACAAAGATACAATAAATGCTAGAATGGTAAGGCTGCAAGATAATAGAAGAGGAAACATGGGTTTTGTGAAAATGACACAACTCTAAAATGAAATCACTAACTCACTGTAAATAAAAAATGTCATTGTCCCAGAGGAGAAAATCAATTTTAATATGGAAAAATAAACTTATTTTGAAAATCGTGATTTCTATTCACTGAATTGTTATTTTACATATAGCTACAGAATATGACATTTTCTCTCCAGGAAATTATTAGTTTGCGCTCTCTCTAAAAAAAAAGTGTTGCCATTGACTTCAACATGGACTAGTTTTAACTTGACAGTGACTCTTAAAAAACAGAAGCATTTTGAAAAATTTAGAAAAAAAAAAGAATGAACGCAATAGAAGACTTTAAATTATAGAGAAATGAAGCATGTAAAACGTTTTGTAATTAAAATGCTAAAATCAAGCAATCAAATGCTTCAAGTGCCTGTTGTTGAGATTTTTACAAGCACTGGAGATAGTTAAAATGGTATTTAATATTCTCTTATTTCTACAGGCTATGAAAACCTTAACTTCAACAACAGTTAATGCTTTTTTTTTCCTCAAGTACTCATATGCAATATTGTGACTGAAAAGACTTACAGGCACCAAATCTTTAAAAAAAATATTTTGCTGAGCAAACAGCAACTTGTAGCTGAAATCAGTGAAACAGGCTATTTTTCTTGTGTCTTACGGTATATCCTTAATTATCATCACCATAAACTGAAATTTATAATGGAGCCAAAGTTACACTTGTTAGAAAAAGATTACTCAGTATAGTATTTCCAGTACATTATTTCCAGCAGCTTTTTACTACACTGATAATAGTTTGGACAAAGTACTATATAGTTTAATAAAATTACTGTATGACACATGAAATAAAATCCTTGTAACCCAATATTAAATCTTGCTAATGAACAATTAGCAATTTGGAAAGGTGTTTGCCACTGCAGTCACAGACAATATTGGTGGGGAGTACTGCACACAAATGCATGTGCACTGGAGTAAAACACCTTAACAAAGCAGCTATGAGAATTATGAGAGGAAGCCAGTGAAAAGGACCCTAAAACAATGGCTACATGCTCAGGATCTAAATTCAAGTTAGGGATTAACAATATGAAACTGCAATTAGATTCTCAAAACTGAGATTTTAAAAAGTTACTAACATCAATGAACTGGAAAATTTATTGCAAAAATTCAATTATTCAACAGAAATGAAATGTTAAAAACAATGTTGACCTACAATTTGATTTCCGTTATCTACTGCAAAAGCACACTGACATGGTTTTAAATTTCCAGCTCATCTGTTTTTCTTCAGGGAACGTGCCACAGCTCTGATTACCAAACCAATCCTGCTAGGATTCAGGGAGCAGACTACCTGAAACAGGGCATAAGCAATTTGTCCCCCAAAATCCCTCAATACGTGCAAATGAGTTGAACAAAAACAAAAACCCTGGTTTTTTTACACAGTTCTGCTGCAACTCAAACATTGAACTAATTGCTGTAAAACACTATCAAATATACACCAGAAAGAAAATAATTCATCTTCTATTCATAATTATTTTCAAACTGCCCAGATGACACATAACTTATTTTGAATCAATTATGAAATGAATCTGAAGAATACAGACCATGCAGTGTAAGCATTAAATTTTCTATCTTTACCTTTATTGTGTTTGTCAGGCTGCCAGTCAGTTGTCCACCCCAGCGATAAGGTTACGTTCGGGAAAAATGAAGTGACAGTGTCGAGGAACCCTCCTGCATCCACTGCAGCATTATTTCCATTAGGTCCCGGTAGGATGTCTGCGTTGATCCAAACGGGTCGCCTCAAACGCTGCTTCACATGTCCTAGAAGCTCCAAGGAAGGCCGCACGGCTTCTAGGCTGTGCCAATAACGCATGGGTGAGATAAGACACCTTGCCCAGACTGAAGACAGGAAATGTACAGCACGCATACAGACCAGCATCTTAACGACACTCTCCTTGTTCAGCGAGAGAGCAAATGCTGAGGACCCTTTCTACCATCAGGTGAGTATTACTGCTGGTGTAAAGTAGTGTAAGCCTCTTGTCTCCCTGCTGCCCACTGTGAACTGCTTCATGGCTCTTACCTTATGGCTCTTCTAACTCCCAACCTGCTAAGACTTGGATGCCACTGGTCTCTTAGGAAGGATTTTAATTAAGGAAGCCGCTGCAGGCTCTACCACTTTTGTACCGATTGTTCCCACAGGTCAGAAGTGTGGCATAGCAGTGGCAGCACGACGAAGTCTGTTCATCATATATTAAGTATGAGACGTAATCACTTGAGCAACCAATGTAGCACCACCTGTATGCATTTAACAAAATCTCTTAAGTCACATATTATCACTGTTCTCTCAAATCAAAAGAGAAAGCATACCTACATGGCAAAAAATTACCTCTCTCTATCCCAACAAAACTTTTGGAATAGCAGTATTGTGGAAGGAAAGGAAATGTGGAATAATGGGGAAAAAGATTGAATGCCAATACAATGCGTATTTTTTCTCTCACAGCAAATTAATTAACACTCTCCATAACATTCAGAAATTTAAAACCATTACGGTCAGAGTTGTGACTTCCTAACAGCCAGGACCTGCGTTTTCTCCTGCGAGTTGGGAAAAGCTCTGAATAAGCCCCCTTCTAGCTTCTCCTCCAAATCTTGCAACGACCTGATACAGAGCTGAGACAACAGACAATTCTTCATGTCGTTCTGCAAGGTTAGTTTCCCTGTTCAACATCCCGAACTGGTCCCTCTGGGTGCCACTGGAGCACCAGGAAAAGCAAGGGGAAGAGAAGGCACTGTGAAGAGCAGGGAGAGGGTGACAACTGCTCCAGCTTACACGGGTGTAACCCACAGGCTACGTGCTCCACGAGTGCCTGTTAGAACAACGCGGATGATGGCTGCCTGCTACCACGCGTTCCCCGTTCCAAGGCCCCTGCACCTCTAGCCTCTCAGACTGGTGTCGATGCTTGCCCTACCAGCAGCGGGAGCTCAGGGACATGAAGTGGTCAACAACTGTTCTCTTTGTTTTGTAGGGATGGTTCTGTACCAAGTTACTCGCTAACCTGGCTCATGATGAGGTCAGATGATTCGTGTCAGGATTTGTGGCCAAAAATCGGAATGGCAGCCAGCTGTTGCATTAGGTTCACTCTAAGCCGAAACCCACCCTGAGCTGCCTCTGTTACTTCCTGCAAAAAGTCATTTTGTACATTTTAACGTCTGTGCTGTTGAGAAAAATGCATAGTGCATGGAATTAAACTCAACGCTTTCAGTTAGTAAGTGTTAGCTCAAGTCTTCTTAGAGAAAAGAGAGCAATGGCTTGAGTTAACTTTGGCTTATTTCTCACATTGTCTGAGGCCAGAACACTTCACATTTTCCCATATACAAGGGACTGTCAAAGCCAGTGGAATGCCTTCCTTTTTACTACAAAATACAAGACAACGTAAAGAGAAAAAAGTCCAAGGCAGCACATCTTGAAACAAACAAAAATGCCCCCCAGACAATGCTGTTTTCATTGCACAGCATTTGGAAAATTCAAACGTATCGCTGACTCCACTGTGAATGGTCCTGGCGTTTTTGAAGCGGGACTCTGAAGTCCTTCTGCAGAATACATTCATTCCTGTACATACAGCCAGCAGGGTATGTGATTATGTGGTCAATCAAGATGACACAGTAGAAATATACAAAATACTTCTTTTTAAGAGCTGCTGAAATAATCTTCAAAACTTCAGCGATGGTATCCAAAAGAACATCAAATTCTGTTATCACTCATTTGACTATATCTGCATTGCATGCTGCCATTTTTTTAAATGCATTTTTACAATTAGACTACTATAATGCAGCATAATCTTAAAAGCTTTTTTAAATCACTGTACTTGGCTGGAAATTCCTTGTGGAAAAGTAAGGGGTAAATGTTTTAAAATTAACTTAAACAATAATCAAAATGCAAAAAAACCCAAACCAAAACCAACTAATAAATCAAAACTTCTCATGTCCTTTCCCTTCTCCGTCCTGGTAGATATTTTCAGATTCTGTAAAAGGATTTAGCCTGCCCACATCTTTTGTATTTTCATAAACTTTCACATGAAAACTGTGATTACATCACACAGAACAACAGGTACAAATCACATTACAAGTATCTAGCTTTTTTTTTTTTTTTGCATTTCTATAGCATACTTAGGCATTCATGAAGAATTTTTTAATGTGGAGGTAGACTCGCTATCTGGTCCAAAAATAGACATTGCTCATGCAAATTCAGACAACGCCAAAGTCAGGAGTTGCAGAAGTGTAAGTCTGAAAATAGCAGCTCAGTCTGAACCCCATTTCAAACTTTTCAAGGCAATCTCATGCACTGGATGGTTTTCAGGTGTATCTCCCATTAAGACAATGAAAGAGCTAATGGTTAAAATTCTAAATACACTTCTGAAAAATTAATTAAGAAGCTAGGCCAAAGAAACTGAATTTACTTCAATATACGTGCACCATATCACACAAAAAGCAAGACAACTTTTTTGTACTACAAACCACACTGAAGAAATCTACCACCACATCGTATGTGGCATGAGATCAGATATTCAAAGGACTACTCCTAATTCTTGAATTGAGACATCCCCAATAGACTGTTAGTTATTGGGGCTGATCAGGAAACAGAATTTCTGTCCTGGAGGGCAGCAGGGGAAAAAGCTCTGTGAAAGTATTCATGCTGGTATGGGATGACATTTCTAATTTACTCTGACCTTCAGCAGACCTGTAACAGAAGCTGGGTTTTCAGCAAGCTTTTCAGAAGCTCCTTGAAAAACCCTGGTGCTTTCCCTTCCCTACCGTGGTGGGGAATGATGCCAGGAAATCTGGGTAACAGCAGGAGAGACCTGTGTGCTGCCAGGCAGCGAGACCCAGGGGGCTCAGCCCCACCTGCAGCCTGGGACCCACTGGCTGACTTCCCAGTCAGAAGGCTGTCTTTCCCAATTTCTTTATACAAGCAGAAAACTCGTAAGAGCTTCCCAGATAGTCACTACCATTTCAGTCTTCCCAGTACAAAAAATTCGCTCAATAGCAACTCAGTAACAAATTCACTGAATATGAAATCATTACTCGTAGTTCAAAACACCTTTAAAGCTTTTATTCTTGAAATGCATTTAGTGACACTGATCATGTTTCACTGCATTTTCTATTCAGGAAGGACTGCATTACACTAAATTGCACAGTAAGAAAAAGTTTGGTCTACCATTCGTCTACTGTAAAATTGTTAATTAGTAAGAATGCAAAGAATATAAAAATCTTTTTGTCCTGAGATACCTCTTAAAATCCAGCTTGATGCCTTTATCGGTGTTGACAACCTCTTTTAGCCACTCCTGCAATGTGTTGTCACTGTCTGTTTCAGGTGGATGAGCCATGATAGGGTCTCCATTTCCTCCCTTGCCACCACGAAGAAGAACATCTGCTTCTATCATGTGAACATCACCTGCTGATTTTAAAAATGAATGCTCTGACAGAAGCAAACCCAACAGCTCCAGCGTCTGCCTCAGAGTAACAATTACAGGGCAAGCCTTTCTACACTGGACTGTGCATACTTACTCCACAAAGATCACCGAGAATGAGCTGTTGTCCATGAAGCAACAGAGATGCGCTTCTTTGGGTACTTCAGTCACTAAACTCTTCAGAAATCTACACGCACATGAAAATCGATTTTTGTAGGTACTTTTGACCAGGTAATCGCAACGTTTTTTTCAGAGGAACAGCAAAATGAATACCCAAAATGTGAATCCACTCTTAAAACCTCTTAAAACACGGTTCCAGCCAGTCTTTTAGAGGCAAGGTGACTGGATTTAACACCGGCAGGGACTCTCGTTGTCTCATTCTCAGAACTAACCAACCCATGTCAGCCAAACCTTTAAAAAAAAAGTCAGCCAGCTAGCCAGCAACACCTGCCACAAAAATGGCAGCTGAAACACAAGTGAGTGGAAAACTCAGGAATGCTGCCAGCTCTTGAAAATGGCGCTCTGTAACGAGCAGCATCCGAGAGCCTGAGCAGTGCTACTGGCTTTGCAGAGAATTCAACATATTGCTGAAACTGAAATTACAATTTAAAAAGATAATAAAAGGAAGCAAGGAAGGGAGGGAGTGGAAGGAAGGGAAGGAGGGAGGAAGGAAGGGAGGAATTTTTTATCAGGTCATTTCCATTTTCTGTTTTCCAGAGCAGGCCCACAAACAGCAGTGTCAGCACACTGGGACGGGCGACCTGCCACGAGCAGAAACTGGAAAGAACAAGCGACAACGGGAGCACTGCTGCCCAGGCTGGCGCACCGGTGAGCAGCGGCCCGGCCCCAGTATGACCGCTGTCAGAGAACCCGGTTTTACCTGCTGCAGAAGCCTTCGTGTCCCCCTGCGCCACACACGAATCGAACATGGCTCCGGGAAAGCCGAAGCGCCCGAGACCGGCAGGCTCTGTAGCCGCGGCTCCGGTCTGCGGG